CCATATACCCCTATTAGAGGGTACTTAGAGGGTCCTGGTTGGTAGGAGTTCCTAAACCACCAACGTCCATGTGCAGGCGAGGGTCATGGCAGCGAAGGCGCTGCCCGTGTTGTCAAAGTCCGCCGAGACCATGGAAGCGTAGATGTACAGCTGCTCCTCGGCGAATTTCCATGCTGTTTGTTCGTCGAGTTGTTAGGGCGCACATAATGAACATCTGTGGTCAGCGCGCGAGAGCATATTACTACTCATTCAGGCTGCTATGTGTGGCGGTGCATGCTCCTGGCCGAGTGGTGTCTTCGTTTTTGGGCATTGAGTTTAGGGTCTAAGGGTTTAGGATTTAGTGTTTAGGGTTTATGAAGAGGTCGTCCTGCTTTGGTCTAGTCTCTGCGGCATGGGCACTAACCCGCCTGAGGTCTATCACGTGCAAGTGCGGTTTAGAGTTCGAGCTTCGCGGATCTAGGCATTGGGGGTTAGTGTTGCTCAAGTTTCGGGTTTGCCAGCAGTTTCAACCCAGTTCTTGAACCACGCGCCGGTCTGACTTCTGATTCTGCAATCTCCCACTACCACATGTCCAAAGCTATTTGCAATGCAAGAGTCCAGAGGGCCGTGCTTGGCTGCATGCACCAGCAACTTCTGCAGCTTCTCCATGTACGCCTGTGCAGGAACCCTAAAACCTGAACTGCAACCCTAAGGCCCCAAATTTCTAAAAGCAGGCCCATCCGCCAAAAAAACCGAACCCTAAGACTCCTCAGAACCCTTTTGGAACGGCTTGTGGAAAACCTTGAAGTCATTAAGACAACACACTTCCTTAAACATCCCCTGCAAAACCAGAGAAAACCCAGGTCAATAGAAACTGCCCTATGACAAACTTACAGCACCCTACGAAACTGCCAAACAACTCATAATAACCCGATAATTCTCTATACCCTATGAAACCCTAGCAAGGCTGCTAATAAAGCTTCTACAACTACCTAAATCCTAAACCATCAGAAACCCAAGCAAAAATGCAATTTAAGCTCCTAAAACAGGTCTAGACCCTAAACCCAAATCCTAAAC